AGTCTAGGCTGAATAGGGGAGGAGGTGAGACCAGGAGAGCAGCAAGTAGGCACAAGTGGAGCAGCTGAGAGACAGTATTCTCTTTAGTTGAAGAGAGGTTTAGAGAATCAAAAGCTTACAGCACTCAGATACATTATTGTCATCATGTTGTTTATTGATGTTCAATAATTCCTAGGTTGAAAGGTTGTTAGTATTTACCAGATTAAGCTGTGGGAGAGAGTGGCTAATGTGGAGAGTTTAGGAGTTGTGATGCTAGATTTTCTGCCTGGTGAATATTGAAATCAAGATTGGGACTGGATTTGGGGTGGAGAAGAAAGCCTGTGTGCTGGATATTAGAGTCTTCGGTGACTAGGAGACAGTAGGGGACAGCAATCTGGAAGGCCAGGCCAAGTGCCTAGGCCTCTGCCATAATTCCCAGGGGAAGATGATTATGTTAGGGTTCTCTGGAGAAGCGGAATCCACAGATTGTATATGTGTGTCATTGTATATTGTATTAGGACTTTCCAGAGGGAGAGGACCAACTGGAGTTGTGTGTGTTTATCTAAGAGAAAGGAATTGAGAGAGGGAGAAGAATAAAGGAGAGGACCTATTAGGTGACTCACCTGATTATGGAGACTGAAAGGTTTCATGACAGGCCATCTGCAAACTGCAGACCCTAGGATGCCAGTAGCGTAGCTCAGGGAAGCCAGTGGTGTAACTCTCAGTCAGAGGCTAAAAGCCAGAGAACTCCACTGGGGCGAGGTAGTGTGGAGGTGCAAGTCCTGGAGTCCAAGCCTAAGGGTCTGAAGCCCAAGGGCAGGAGGAAAACGATGTCCCAGTTTTAGGAGAGAGATGGAATTATCCTTCCTTTGCCATTTTGGTTCTACCTGAGTGCCCAGCTGATTAGATGGTGCCCACCTACATTGAGGGCAGATCGTCCCCGCCCAGTCCACTGATTACATGCCAGTCTCCTCTGGAAAAACGTTCATAGACACACCCAGAAATACTAAGCAGCTCACTAGTTATCCCTTAATCTAGCCCAGTTGACACCTAAAATTAACAGTATTTCTCTCTCTCCCTGCCTCTCTCTTTCTCTCTCTCTCTCTTTCTCTCTCTCTCTCTCTCTCTCACACACACACACACACACACACGAGAGGACTTCAGAAAATAAATTGAAAGGGAGTATTAAAGTATGAGTTTATGTGGTGTAAAAAAGTGTTTGAAATCCATGCATTATTTCTTTTATTAATGCATGTTTTTCATGAATTTTTTGAAGACTCCTTGTGCGTACATGCACATATATATATATATATTCCTTAAAATCATCAATCGCACACACAGATTGATTGGTCAGTTGATTGATTTTGAAGCATTAGCTCAAAAAATGGTAGAGGCCTGTTGGTTCTAAAACCTAATGAGGAAGGCCAGCAGGCTAGAGACACAGGAAGAGCTGTGGTTTAAGTGCAGAGGCAGTCTGTAGGCAGAATTCCCTCTTGGATCCTGAGAGGAGAATTGAGGAATAGGGGTTGCAGTGTGGCCTTCCCCCTGAGAGGGTGATTACTCGCTTTATGTCTCTCTGTCTTTCTGGCACGTGTATGCACCCTATAGAAAAACCTATCCAGAAAAAAAAAAAAAAAAGAATTCCCTCTTACGTAGGAGATGTCAGTCTTTGTTCTACACAGCCTTTGATTGATTGGATTAAAGGTAATTAGAGGGGAATCTATTATACTCAAATCCACCAGTTTATGGGGCAGCCCTGTGGCCTAATGGCTAAGGAAACTAGATCCCACATAGCTGACCTGAGCTATTGGAATTCCAGACCTAATTGCTTGAAAAATGTGTTAGGTGAATATATGTGCTTTCCTGAAATCCCAAGAGTAGAGAAATGAAGCAGGGATTACAGTGTGACCATGCGTTATTGGAGGGTATTTTCTTTCACGCTGTTTCTCTCTGTCTCTCCCTGATGAGCACATGTGCTCTCTGACTATAATAACCATTTTTAAAATCCATTTTTAAATTAATATTAATCTTATCTAAAAGATACCCGCATTGAAATATTCAGAGTAATGTTTGAACACACATTGGGGCACCTTGGCACAATCAAATGGATTCCTAAACCATCACAGTGACGTTATACCAGGACAGAAGATTTGTAGTAGTGGGAATCCCATAGAGGGTTTGCCTACTTTTCCCCCATATCCTAGGCCTGAAGATTTCAGAGAATGTGTTCTTAGTGTTTGAATGGTTGTTTATAAGTTTTTAAAAAGGTATTTATTAGTATTTTATATCCCATAGTATTATACTAGTAATCCTACCCTTTACATTTGTACTTTACTTTTTTTTTTTTTTTGGAGAAGTTTTTGCTCTACAGTACATGCGCTTGCCAGAAAGAGACAGGGAGACAGAAAGTGAAAAATTACCTCCCAGAGGGGATGGCCACTCCGCAGTCCCTTGCCTGGCATGAGTTTAGGCTACCAGGTCTGGGACTCAAACTGCAGTCAACTACATGGGAGTCCAGCGACATAGCCATTACGCCAACTGCTGGTCCCTGTACTTTGCATTTTAAATGTCTAATTTTTCCAGTAATAGTTACCTCAGTTTGTCAGTCAAACCCTCAGTTTCTCATTGTCCTCAATCCCTTTATCTCCAAGCAAAAGCGTAGGAGCCATTTGTTAGCTATTGGCACACAGCCATGGACAAGCCTCTGGTTACTCAGTTCTCATTTCCATATTGAGCATACCTATCTCTACAGTGTGCTTGCCCCACATCGTTCTAGAGACAAGAGATCCTCCCTGAGAGTCAGGTCTGGATGACACAGCATCTGCCAGCTGTGACATTAGCACTTGTCCATCTACAGTAGTTAAACATCCCCCTAGCTGGCTGGTGGCATGCTCCTTATTTTAAGTCTTTAATAGGAAAGTAGAAGTATAAGCCAGGAGTAAAAAGCACATGTCATTTCACCAGAGGACCTGGACACTTTTTGGGGGAAGAGGTGACATGGAACCTTTGTGACAGGATTTATTCTATTTCCTTCTTTCTTACTATTGCGACTCAGCATAGCTTTTGGAAATGAGAGCTTAGAGGCAGGTGCAGACTGGTGTTCAAAGATGTGGAATGGTAGAAATATTTTCTTACCCCTAGCCAAAAAAAAAAAAAAAAAAGCTGTTATGTTTACTTGGGCATTACTCTGAACAATAGAATAAAGACTGAGTAATAATAAACCTGCCTTAGACACTTTCTATGGGACTGTGTGGGAGAGAGTGACTCCAGTTCCCCTTAGCTCAGCAGTGTTACTGAACAAACCCACCAGGGCTGCAGCCTCGCAGAAGGAGACCATTGTATGATTCCTGCATCCAGCACAGTCCCTGCCACATAGAGACCGCCAGGAGACATTTGTAGAATTACTAAGGGAATTGAAGATTTTCTTTTATCTGTGGCTCTGTAGAACCATCGTTGGCTCATGTGGAGTTTAGAGAATATCTTGGATTGTATGTCAGGATGCATTTGCTCTTAGGGTAAACGTTAGCTGAGCTAAGATTAGTAGAAATTCCTTAAAGAATGAGAAATGCCTGAACTTAGCTTCAAAAACTAAGAAGGAATCTGTATGCTTTCTTGTGCAGGGCCCGTGTGAAGGCTGGAGAAAGTGTTCTGGTTCACGGAGCTAGTGGAGGAGTAAGTATTTTTTTTTTTTTTATTTGTTTTACTTTTAAGTGAGCTCGGGTTTATGGGTTTCACATTTTAGTTCCTTAAATAATTTTAAAAAGCAAAATTTATAAATATAGTTAAAGGTTTTTTTTTCTTTCTTTTATGTAGTGGAGCTTTTTAAAATTTGATCTTCTGAAGGTGATTCTTTGTCCTTACTTTAGCATTTCTTGTTCAATAAATTCAACAGACCATGCCATCAGAAATGTATGTATTAGGTTTTCTACCTGTATCGGGTGTGGACCAAGATAAACAGGCCATGTTTCCTCCTTCAAGGAGCATATGTTATAAGAACATTTATTTAGAATTTTAAACGGTTCTTAAGGTTAATAACAATTTTCTATTCCCTTTGATTAAAAAAACAAACAACTTGGCTCATTAAAGCTCTACTTGTGTTGCCCCAGAAGGCACTGCAAAGCCACCCTGCACTCCTTAGCCCTTCCTATCTCCCTTCCTCTGCCTGTACGCTGCTCTTTGATGGCGTTTGTAAAGTGCACAGTGTACAGCTGTGTCCTTAACACAATTCGTGGCTTAAAATGCTAATGTCTGGGGGAAGAGGGGACTCAGAATTTATAAAATAAGCCCTTTGGTGAAATCACCCAGTGCATGCTGTCAGAAACCTCTCCGAGACACCGGCTGCCAATCTGTTTCTCGAGAGCTTAGAGGACAAGTTAGAGCTCTGAGGTTGGAATTTAACAAGAAATCCACATGACCTCTCTTCTGCATGCAGCGGCTTTAGAAATTTTGGAGATAAGAGTTCGAATTTTTAAAATGAAGGGCCCGGGGTGAGACGGCTCACCTTGAGGACTCTGGTTAACGCTTACAGAGCACTGTGTACTCTGGAGTATAGATTGAAAGAAGTACCGTATTATATGGCACTGACCAATAAGTGCTATCCTGAAACTGAATTTTACCTCTAACAGTGGTCAGGTTAATATAGAGAATTCAGTCCGTTTTGTCTCTTTGTTTCTTTAGATGGATGAATCACAAGGCTCCTCACCTAGCTTCCTGCAGACCTTAAATAGATCAATTCTGAAGGATTTCACAGATCAGACTGTTTACTGAAAAACACCGAGATTGTCTTTAAGGGGCTTGAGCATGTGACAGATACGCTTTGCCAAAAATCCCATTGTTTAGCTTCTCAAAAGAGGGTATTTTGGGGTTAAATTGAACTTAACCCTAAATAACTAAATGGTCTATCAAATACATGCATTTATTTAAATTGCTCTGGCTTTCAAAGAACTAACCTATGCTCTATATAGAAGGGAAACTTTAGTAGGAAAGAGAGAAACGAGTTTAAAGAAAATCTCTTTTATTCCCTTTACCCTCTTGTATAAAGCCTAGTCGCTTCACCATGATTTTTTTTTTTTTTTTTAATGGTAAAATCCACACTGTTCTCTGAGCTGGCTGAGTTTGTTAAATCCTTGGCTGGCAGGGGTAGGCTGGCGACCTGGTGTGTGAAGCGCTTCTGATCCTCCCTGCCCTATCAGAGAGAAACGCAGTACTGGGTTTTGCCTTGCCTCTGTTTGTACTTCCTGTCCTCATTTAATTCAAATTTCTGTGGGATTATGTTGTGTGTTTAAAGTGGTGTGGAATTTATGAACACAGCTATTATCCAGATACGTTGGCGGGGAGTGCCCTATTTTAGTGTTAGCAAAATAAGTGGAAGGAAAATAGTTGACACATAATGGTACATAATCCGTTAAATGAGTATTGCTGGGCCAATTGTTAACAAGAACAGAATATATGTGGCTTTTAAGACAGCTGTTGAGAGAGCACCTTTAAAGTACTTAGAACATTAGCACACATATTTACATTAAGTCTTTAGTTTAAAATGTACTTTTATTAGAGATCTGGTTTTTTTTAATTGAAAATTAAAGTAACAAAAATCAATCAGGACAACCCCAGAGGGTATTTTATTTCATCTAATTGGATGTTGCTTCCCTTAGTCAGACAGTGAGGTCCATGTATTTGTTTTTTGTTTCAGTTAAATCAAACAGATCTCCACCAGTGAGTCCAGGCACATCAAGCCCATATGCCACACAATCTTTAAGATTCATTTCAGGCCCAAGACTTGTGCGTCTGTTACAATTTTAATTAGTTTCTTTCATCATTTTTCTTTTTAGTTCTTTCTTATTACACCCAACCAAATCTTTCCTCTAACTCAGTGGTTATCAGTAGGGGCTGATTTTCTACCAATCCCCTTTGGCAATGCTAGAGATCATTTTGGGTGTCACAGTTGGAGAAGGGGGTTCTGGTATCTTATGGGTAGAAGCCAAGGATGCTGTCAAACATCCTTCAATGCACAAGATAGCATCTTATAGCACAAAATGATCTGGCTCAAAAATGTCAGTAGTGCCAAGGCTGAGAAACTCTGCCCTAAATGTATGTTCACTAACCTGTACCATTCATTTTGTAGTATTTAAATAATTGCTCTTTTATCTATATTCCTAAATTACTTTTATTTCTTTTTTATGCTAAGCACTTTTACCTGGTGTTCTAGTGATTTCATCTCAGGGCTTTTAAGTATAATCTATAAGATGACGAATCTTAAATCTATATCTCCAGCTCTGAATTCTTTTGCATCAATATCCATGTTCAGCTGATTACTAGACTGCTTCACTTCGGTGACACTATCCAGCTCAGCATGTGCAGAATGAATGAATTCTTGATATTTTCACAAACTTGATGCTCTCCAGTGTTCCTCATCTCAATTAAGAGACCCAGTTAAGGGACCAGCAGGTGGTGTAATGGTTAAGGCATGGCTGACAGTGGTTCAAGTCCCAGAGGTGGGTGGCTTGCTTTTCCACTTTCCCTCTCTGTCTGTCTCTGGTGAGTGTGTGTGCCCTATAGGAATTTAAAAAATAATAATGATTATAAATAAAATTAAATAAATAACTCTTTTTAAAAATTGTAACTGTTTATTTAGAGACATTTTTGCTATAGGGCACATGTACTTGCTGGGGAGACAGAGAAAGACAGACAGACAGAAAGCAAGACAGCACCCCCCCAGACAGGATGGCTAAGCCACAATCCCTTTTCCTCCATTCTTCTCTTGGGATTTTGGGCTTGCATGCACATGCACCTGGTGAGTTTTAAGCTGCTGGGTGTGGGACGACCATTGTCGACTAATGGCAGTCCAGCAACAAAACCATTATGCCATCTGCTGGTCTCAATGTAACGATAAAAAAAAAAAAAAAAAAAAAAAAGTTACCCAGTTAATCTGGCCAAGGACCTGAGAGACATCCTGACTTTTTCTTCCCATATTCACTCCATGTGGGAGTCTCATGACCTAATCTCTAAACTCTTCCAATACCAACACCTTAACTGGAACCAGCTTCATTGCTTATCTGGACTATTGTACCAACTATGAACTCATCCTCCTATTCGCATCTTCCCTGCCACCTTCTTTGTGCCTCACTTAGAATTGAAATGGCCTTTTTAAAGTCTCAGTTGATTATACCACTCCCTGCTTAAGCTTTACAGCGATTCTGCATAGCTCTAACTGTAAACTGAAGCCTTTACCTTCACCTCTCAGGCCCTGTGTGACTTGGCCTCTACCTCTCAGGCCTTAGTTTTTTGTCTCTGAGCCATATTGACCCCATTTCTGTACTTTGAACACTCCAAGTGCATTCGTACCATACCAGGTTGTTAGCCATAGCAGCTCAGCCTGACTACAGCATCCTCCACCTGGCTGCCCACAAGCTCACATGTCTTGTTCTTTATTTCCTTTCGGTCTCATTTCTTCAGTGTGGCCTTTGTGATAACCCAAGCCGCCATATTTCCTAATATTTCCTATCTCTTTGTAACACAAAGGCAGGTGTTGTTTGTTTTTTTTTTTTCTTAGCAATTGTTTTCTGAATTATGATCCTCAGGTATTTGCTTATATGTTTATTATCTTTCCTCCTCCTTAGGATATAATTCTTTTTATTAACTAGCAGGTCTAGCACATAGTAAGCACTCAATAAATGTTCAGTGTATGCATGAGTAAATGAATTTGCCCATGTACCTGTCTCTTCTACTTAAATGGTAAGATCTTACATTTGTTATAAAGTAGTTGCTATTTACCAAAAGTATAAAGTCAATGAGCAGGTTCCACTTATCTCTAAGCCCTGTACCTGCATAATGCAGATGCTATGTGATATTTTGGTGCAGTGGTTAAAAAATCAAGTTCTGTAGCCTGCTTTAGTCTACCTCCTGTTTCCATCTCTGTATGAGACTTGGACAGGTTATTTATATTTTGAAGCTTCAGCTCCCTCTTCTGTACTGTAGGGACAATAATAGTATCTACTTTATGGAGTCATCGTGAGGAGAAATAAAGCAATATGTAGAGAGCATTTGTATGGAACATCGTAAGTGCTCAATAAAACTTAGGTATCTTGCTTATTTCTTCATTTATATTACTCTAAGTTCCTTAAGGATATGATAGGTCCTAGACAAATGTTAAGTTCATTGGTCTATATTTAGTAAATATTTTCAGGGATACAGAGAATATAACTACTGTATTATATTTTGTTTCTCAGGTTGGAATAGCAGCATGCCAGATTGCTAGAGCTTATGGTTTAAAGGTTCTGGGCACAGGCGGTACTGAGGAAGGACGAAGGACTGTTTTGCAAAATGGAGCCCATGAAGTGTTTGATCACAGAGAAGTTAATTATATTGATAAAATTAAGGTAAAATTTTCTATGATTTTATAAAAATTAAACTTTATTCCTTAGAGATCAACATGGTTTTTTATAAGATCTTCTACCAACTCTTCACTTAGAGCCGTTTGTTTCCTCTCTTTGAATATCTGTGTTTTTGTGCCTATGTATGTTTTAAAGCTTTTATTAATTTGAAAAGCAGAGATGTTTAATTTTTCAATCTTTATTATTATTTCTGTGTTGTTTTTGCGTATTAAATGAAATACAGCCTCTTGAGAGTCTTAACCGTTGGTATTCTTCAGAGGCTTACAACTTACTGGTACTCTAATGCAAATCACATTTTAAGTAAAGTAACAGCTTTATATTTACAGCGGTGAGATATTCTTAATATAATTTTTAGTAATGTGAATTTTTTTGTGGAAGATGAGGTATTCACAGATTAGAAACTAGATCTGTCTAGCCAAGAGGATAAAGTTTGTTTAACCAAATGCTTTGGAGGAGTAGTCACTACCTCACTCAAATTGGTAAGGCAGCATTTTGTTAGTTGTGCAAATCTATTGATATAGCAGAAAGGAGATTCTGAAGTTCCCCATTTACACTGCAGTAGCAATTTACTAGACACTGATTACTTTGTTAATCCTCAAACCATTTCCTCATGTTAGAAGGAGTTAAAATTCCCCAGGTACTGTATAAACTAGGTCATTACAAACTGAAAAAAAAAAAAAAAAAGTAAGAGTTTATTACCACTAAATCATCTTGCCAAAAAAACTGAGCAAAGGCACTCTTGTTATATGTCAGGAAACCCAAGATCCAGTACTTACTCCTAGTACCATTACCAAGAATATTTACAAAGGTCAGAGATGGCCAGTTATTTTAAGAATATGATTTTTGTTTAGCATCATCTCATTTTAAGACTGTGAAGTCTTGTAGCTTCCATCTTTTCCATTTATTCCTTCTGCTAAACTATCTCTTCTCTCAAGAAAAAAACCTCTTCACCTTTTAATCTCATCCCTCTTTTTTTCCTCCTCTTACCACCAAACGTCTTGAAAAAGCAGTGCTTACACTTGACTTGCTTACCTCCTGCCACCTCTCACTGCAGTTTGGGTTATATCCCAGCTACTTAGCCTGCCTCTCAGAGGTCACTGATAAGCTTGTAATGATCAGTCTGCTCCTCTCATCTCAGTTCTCTATTTGAGTTTTCAGAGGCATATGACCTTGATTACATTTCCTTGAAACTGGTTCTCTTCTTACTTCCTTGACTGTTCACTTTTGGTCTCCTTCCTCACACTATGTAAATTTTGGTGTTCCTTATGTTTTTTTTTTGCCCTGGTCTCTTATCTTTTCTGGTGCTAGACATTTCGTCCTGATCAATCTCATGCTCCCATGGATTCCATGTTTACTCACATGCTGTTGATTTCCAAAACTGTCTCTGGGATGAGTTCCATTCCTTCATGCTATCCTTCTGCCTGACATTGCCTCTCATCTGGTCCCGTAAGACAGAAACCTCATTTCATGTTTTATTCCTCTTAGCCGTTCTCCTTCCCACCTATCAGGTGGTCACCTTGTTCACTTAGTTTCATCTCGGGCACACCTATCACAAATATCTCTTTCTTCCTCTCTATTCTACTGAGATTTTGTTTAGGCTTCAGTTTCTAATTGGGCTAAAATCCACTTTTCTCTTTTCTGTTATTGCCAGAGTTATTTAGTTTCCCCTTTTAGAAAAGCTCTAAAAAGAACTAAAATGGGGGACCAGCAGTTAGCGTAATGGCTATGTCGCTGGACTCCCATGTAGCTGACCACGGTTTGAGTCCCGGACCTGGTGGCTTAAACTCACGCTGGGCGCGTATGCATGTGTGCTCAAGATCCGGAGAGGAGAATGAAGAAGAAGGGATTGTGATGTGGCCATCCCCCCTAGGGGGTGATTTCTCACTTTCTGTATCTCTCTCTGTGTCTGGCGAGCACACACACCCTATAGCAAAAACCTCTCCAAAAAAAAAGAACGAAAATGGAGCCGGAATATTGGTCTCTCATGGTCTCTAGTGCCCTTGCAGTGCCTCAAAAAAGTGTCTGCACATATAATGAACACGTGATGTTTTCAAAAAGTTCAACTCCTTTAACGTGACAGTAGATGTATTTCCACAATCCGTACAAGTTTACAGTGTCCTCTTTCCTCCTATTTCCCTGCTAGCTCTCCTTCCCACGTACACACAGACTCCAGCTCTGTTTGCATTCCAGTGCTTGTGTTCTCAGCCGTCGACACCTGTGCTTTCCTGTTTCCTCTGTCCAGACTGACTCTGTCTTGCTTCCCTTGCTCATATTCTTTCCTTTTTGGTTAGGAAATTCCTAGTCATCTCTTAGAATCCAAGTCATTATCTCTGGGAATTTCCTCTGACCATTGCAGGCAATTTGACTAACATTTTCTCTCTATAACCCATAGTTTATTTCTGCCTATTACCTTATAGCTGTGATTGTAATATTTTCCATCCATTTCCCTAGCTTTGTTCTGAATTCTCCATGTCTGTGTTTGCATTCCTGGTACCTCGTGCAATGCCTGGCACAGGTACTTTTGTTGTCATTGCTAAAATGAAGTGAATACAATGTAGATATGTATATCTTTTTAAGAGCTTGTTTTGGATATTGGGAACCAATATACAAGAGACCAAAAGAAAAAAAACTAATGTGTCACACAGATCACAACCATTTAAAAGAAAATTGAATGTGTATCAGCACACACATACTCATACTCTTGAAAAAATTTTGCAAAACTAAGTGGCCAGTTCTTTTTTATTTTTTCATAAAAGTAGAAGCCCTCTGGGAGTTTTGGATTTTTGATTTGTTGTTTTTCTCCATGAAAATTCATTTTTAAGATGGAGGAAAAGGTATTTTATACTCAAGTCGAGTCAATTGAGCACCTAAAAATTTAGGCAAATTTTCTCTACAGTAATTTATTTAGTATAAATTTGTTATCGTTTCAGATTTTGTGGCTGGTACCTTAGAATTATATCATTATTATATAATTAGATCATTTTGAGGTTTACATTATTAGTCTTAAAAATGTAGAATTTTATGTCATTTAAATATATTTCTGAAACATATGGTACTATAGTAGCTATTTTTTACTTGTTATCTTACTCTATTTTCTTTTTATTATATAGAAATCTGTTGGTGAAAAAGGAATTAATGTGATTATTGAAATGCTAGCTAATGTAAATCTTAGCAATGATTTGAATCTTCTTTCACATGGAGGACGAGTAATAGTAAGTTTTTTTTTTTTAAACCACTTTAAGGTTTCATCACAGTTTAACACTGTTTTGCAGTGCTCTTTTAACTGTAGACATGTGTTTTTGCACAATAGGTTGTTGGCAGCAGAGGTCCTATTGAGATAAACCCACGAGACACCATGACAAAGGAGTCCAGTATAATTGGAACTACTCTCTTTTCAACAACCAAAGTAGGAAAAGTGATTTTGATTTTGCTGATTTAAACACTGATCCAATTTGCCCAGTTAGGCAGACCAAAAATATAAGTAGTTAAACTTAGTTCTATTTTATTAGAGGGGGTAAGGATTAGTCACCAGAAGGATCACTAGGATGATAATACAGTTAATTGTCCAAGTCACAACACTTTTGAGAAAGAAAGGGGATACTGTCAATAAATATTACAGGACAAGAGGCATTCTGTAAACCACAGCAAATGGGAATACTGGCTACCCATATAGTGTGATTTTTTTTTTTCCTGTATTCTGGACAAGTTCACAAAAGCTGCACATTTATAAGAAACTTTGGTTTATCTCTTAGATTGCAAAGTCCTGTAATGTTTCTGAAAATGAAACCATATGTTTCACTACAAAAACTTTATTTTCTTTTCCTTAGGAGGAATTTGAGGAATGTGCTTCAGCCCTTGAAGCTGGAATGGAAATTGGTTGGTTGAAACCTATAGTAGGTTCGCAGTTTCCACTGGAGAAGGTGGCCCAAGCTCATGAAGATATCATTCATGGCAGTGGAGCTACTGGAAAAATGATTCTTCTCTTATGATGATTAACTCATGGATTTCCTTTGCAAGTAGAAGTTTTTTTACCCCACACTTTTACTTCCACTGCCTTTCCTTTAATTAACATTCATTTGATTGAGTGACTTTCTTATATTAGAAAACAAGATTTTTCTCTGGAGAGAGCAGAGATGGTGGAGTAAAAAATACTTATATTTGGCAATATCTTTTATACTTTCACTCTAAAATCAAGGAGTTGTTATAGAAGGAAATAGCATGTTAGTGGGGTCATTTGACTTTGTGAGGCTTTCCAGGAATTCCTAACTGGTGTTTGATTAATTCCATATCTTTGACAACATATGCTAATCCAAATTAGACTGCTCAACTTCCAAGGGTTTCCAAGCCTACTTCTCTTTATAAAGACTCTTAGGCCTCTGATTAGCCCATAACTGCATTTCATTCTAAAGATTTTTCTGGACTAAAAAAACTCCTTTTCTATACTAATGTCTTCTGGATCTATAAATTTCTTGAAGGGCAAGAATAAATGATGTCTAGAGACATTCATTAGTTTCCTTTGATTTGATATGATTCCAGATACATAGTCTCCTAATACATATTTCTTGACTGACTCGATTTCCAGAGTAGATTTAGAGTTAGTTGTTTGTATAATGGGGAGGGGGGAGGGAGGTAACACTAATATTTAAATGAATAAGCTCAAAATTTGACACATTAAGAATGGTCTACCTGTTTTCAAAATATGGTTAAAAAAAATAAAGTCTATAGAAAATTACAACCTGCATTGATCTCATTTGTCTTCGCATAATACCACTTGCCCTGCATCACTAATGCTTAACTCCTAATGGTTACTTCCTAGCAGTGCTCTGTCTAAAAGTCTTTATCTAAACAAAAGGAATGACCTTCTAGAGATTCTGCCAACAATTTTACATCCAAGGACATAAAATTTGGTTGGTTGTTTTTTTGGTTTTGTTTTGGTTTATATGAACACACCCTTCTGTCTTTTCTAACATTAAGTGGTTGTTTGTCCTAACGTGATTTGTTGAGTGATGATTTCTTTGTTTGATCATGGATCCTACTTTGATAGTGAACAGAAAGCACTGCTAATTTCTATAGTTTGTGGGGTCTCCTTGGCTCCTGGCTGTGTGTGCCATAATGGAAGTGTTTTTCCTATTAGTATTTTTCAAGTTCATTCACTGTTTCTTGTATAGGTTAACTATCCTGTAAAATAACATTTTTGAAAAAAAATTAAAGTACTGTCATCGATTTATAGGCTACATTTTATATGCATTCTAAATTGGAAGATTTCTTTCCTTGCAAAAGTGAAGGAATAATTATTTTATAAAAATCAGTTTAATCTGCTTCAACATTTACTTCATCCATAGAATAAGCTAAAGCATACAGGCACCTTTAAACTTCACAACCCATAGGTATATAGTTCAGTTAATTTCAAGGATAAAACTGGCCAATCCTTAAGCTGTTGATGATTATGTAGCGTCGGATATGTTCTCTACATGAATCTCCTTATAAATCTAGTTCTACTCTTGTCCCAGCTCTCAGCTGAAAGTTCATTCAATTCTTGGTTGATCGCTCTAGGCTTATGGCTGGTACTGTCACCAACCAATGCCTGTCTTCACATAGAGAATAACTTTAGAATAAACAAGCATTATTTCACCTCTCACCCTTCTGGGTTTCTGTCCCTGTTTATTAAACTTTCATGACTTAGGATCATATAATGTATTAGAGACCAAATCTACCAGCCACTTTGGGCCTACAAGGTGAAACATTTTGGTGAAGTTGACATAACTGGGAAACTGAAATTCAGCTGACTCTTTTTAGTAGACTATTGATGCAAAACCACAAACTGCTTCATTTAAATTCTAGGCCTTTGATTTTCCGAGCTTGCTGTACCTCTGGCTTCTGTAGGAGTTGATATACTGCTTTCCAGCATCATTTTGCTTGGGGGGGGCAGTGTTTCTAGTCCTATTAATTATTCTGCCTCAGTGGTCACCTATCTCTGGACTTGACAGTCTTTTATGAAGGGGATTTTTCATTCATTAGGACAAGTATTTATTGAGTACTTGGAGTCTGGGTAGGCACCCTGCTGGAATTTGAAGATACAGAAATCTCTAATGGTCCATATCCTTGAGTTATATAGTCGAATAGGGATGAGAACCAGAGTCAAACATTTTAGAGTAATAAGGTAGTCTGCCAGGGCTCTCCAGAGAAGCAGAATCAATAGGACATACCTAAGTTAGGAGATTTATTAAAGGGATTTGCTCGTGCCATTGTCGGAGCTAGTAGGTCGAATTTGTACAGCAGGCTGGCAGACTGGAAATACGGTAGGGTTCATTGTAGCCTTGAGATGAAACTTTCCCTGGGAAGCCTCACCCTTTGCTCTTTAGGCAGATTCAGTTAGGCCCAAATGCATTACTGATGGAAATCTTTACTTAAAAATCTGGTAATTATATGTAATGTAAATAAGAAACGATGATTTTATGTTGACCCATTACCCAACAAAGGGGTGATGTAGTGACATAGAGGAAAGGCACTTGGTGTAGCTTTGGACTTTCAATTATATGTAATACTTCTGATGCTTTCGTTAGCTCTATCCATAGTAGTCTTGGCCGTAGACGTGAAAATAACTTGGATGCTTCTAAAAGGGGGGAAAGATCAGGTAGCACTTTATAATGTCCTTAACTCAGCTTTACAGAGGAAAGAAATTATATGTGTGCCAAAGGCTTTCACAATTCACGGTAAAAAGAGCCTTTTCTTTCTGCACAAGATAACTTGAAAGAACAGCCAAAACTATCAGGTCATTTTGACCCAGCTCCCTCAGCATCCTCAACCACACGTCACAGACAGGAAAACACCTCAGTTCAATCTGTAATCATCTCTTCCTAATGCTGCCATTTTTTATGATAGTGCTTTCTAAAAATGTCATTTACAAAGTGTCATATGACAATTTCACTACTCCACAGGGCTTACATTGAGAGAACTCCCTCTATCCAAGGAAAGAACCTAGGAAATTTATTATAGACAAAAACCTAGGTTCACTTTGGTCTGTGTCAGGGACCCCTAAATCATGCACGGGAACTGTCTATATATGCTTTATCAGCGAGAGTCTCAACACTGATCCCCAAACCACTACATGATACTGGTGCTTATTAAACATGTGTAAAAACCTCAAGTGAATCCCAATTTATTCATTCCCAGCTTCATGTAAAAATATTCTTAAAGACTACAATAGTATAAGATACTAAGGTAACAGGAGACCCTGTGCCTAAATTTATCGGGAACGTCAAACTCCAGAGTCAGTCATTTGATCCACTAAACCAAATGAACTACAGAGTAGGTGGAAAAGTCTCAATTCAGTCCGTGCTTCTAACACAGGACATAGCAGCTACACTGTCTGGAAAACCAGACCACTTACTGCCCAGAAATCATTGGAGCTAGCTAGAGGTGAGATCCATGCCCAATGCACAATATCTGTCACAATATCTTCTTGCTTTCTCATGCTTCTTAGAGACTGCAGGTTTCCTTTTCCAGTACAGCTGCAGATTAAGGAGGGCAGGGAATTTTGCTTTCTCGGTGTTCATCGCAGAGAAAACATTGCAAATGAATAGAGAGTGAAGAATCCCTGGGTTACACCAAATGCTGTGGATGATAAAAAGGGCTTTTTAGTCAGGGAAAAGGTTATTCAATATACCTGTTCAAAGAACATTTGACCCTAGCAAAGCTAGATTATCTAAGAACTGGAGAAGACATTCATGTATAGGCACTATAGTTGACACAAGGAACTTTCCTAATCTAAACAAAAAAGCTAAGTTTATTTCCTGGTAGTATGTTTATGCAAAATTAATTAAATTAATTAAAACTACTGGTAATGAAAGATATCCTTTAAAATTCTTTTAAATTTCACAAAATTTGTCTTGGGAAGTAGGATGCAGAAGAAAATTACTTACAATTACATTATTCAAACCCTTGAAAATGTAAGAGAACAAAAGGAAAAATTATTACTAAGTTCAGAAAGGTGGTTAATTACATAATAAATATACAAAATTAATATAAATGAGTAATTATTAGTTAGAAAATATCATGTAAAAAGATATCATCATAATTACATTACTACTGTTACTATTAATAATTTAAAAAAACAATGAAATAAGGCCAGCAGGTGGCACTGTTGTTAATCCACTGCTGGATTCCCACGTGACTGACCACAGTTTGAGTCTCAAACTTGGTGACTTGCTTTCTCACTTTCCTCCTTTCTGGTTAATAATAATAATAATAATAATAACAAATAAAATTAAATAATTTTAAAAAGAAAAGCATTGAAGTTATATGCGATCAAATTTGTAAGAAAAGTACAGAACCTTTAAAAGGAACATAGAGGAACAGGCAAAGTAAGATTCTTGGTCAGATTCATGTAAAGATTCTTCCTTTCTATTATTTGAATTCAATGTAATTTACACCAAAATCTCAATAGGGATTTTTAGAAATATGACAAAATATTTCTTTTTTAAAAAGAATTATTGAACTTTATTCAATTATTTATTTATTTCAATTTGACCAGAGAGGGACAGAGTGAGAGAGAGAGAAAGTGAGAAAGAGAGGGAAAGTGAGAAGGCAAGCTGCTAGGCCCAGGACTCAAACCACTCTCGGTCCAACACCCTTAACCACCATGCCACCTGCTGGCCCTGACAAAATATTCCTAAAGTCTTGTTTAAGGGGAAAAAATGTAACCAGTCCTAGCAGATACAAATATTTTTTTCCCAAGTTAGAGTTACTACAGTTACATTAGGTCAAGAGTAACTAGACCAGTGGAACGAAAGAGTCTAGAAATGCTTCTGGCTTTCGTGGATGATAAAAAGGGCTTTTTAGTCAGGGAAAAGGTTATTCAATAAGAGAACTGACTACTCATTTAGAAAAAAATAAAGCCTGTACTATGGTTTATGTGTCCTCCCAGAATTCATGTACTGAGATTTCGTTGTGACAGGACTAAGAGGATTAAAAACTTAATTTGTCTATGATGTTAAAAGGTGGAGCCTTTGGAAGGAAATTAGGATTAAGATCATTAAGACAGGGCAACTATGATTAAACTCCATGATTATAAGGAAAAGGTATAAGAAAAAGACACATAGACATTGATACATGAGCTCCTTCCCTCCACCATGCTTTAATGCAGTCATAAGATCATCACCAGATGTGGACCTTGGATCTTGGAACTCTAAGCTGAATAAACCTCTCTCTCTTTTTAAAAATTTTTGTCTTTGTGAGAGAGAAGGAGATAGATAAGCACCTTTTTCAGGGTCTCACACTAGCTCCCCTAGCTTTCACAAGCATTAAGGATCATGGGCACACATACGAAGTGCGTAGAGGTTGACCAGGGAACCAAACCCTCGATCTCCCATCTGGATCCAGTTTTGATTGAGAAGTATTACTGCTATGCCACCAAGTTTGTCCAATCTCTAGTCTTATAAATCATCCACATTCAGGTATTTCTGTTATCAGCAACAGAATGAATTATAACAGCTAACATCTGACTTCACCTCTAGCATCAGAAACTTTAAAATGGCTCAAAATCTATAACAAATGAAATGATATATTACAAAGACATGGTAAAGTATTTTTATAATCTTGAGAGGTGAACAGCCTCTTAAATCATTACTTTTTAAAGCCCAAACTATAAAAAAAAAAGAAAGAAGGACAAGTAGGAGTAGTAGAAAAATATCTCCAGTATTAACTTTAAATTAAATTATTTGAATTAACTGG